CTTATATTAAAGAGTTTTTATGGTTATATTAAAGAGTTTTTATGGTTATATTAAAGAGTTTTTATGGTTATATTAAAGAGTTTTTATGGTTATATTAAAGAGTTTTTATGGTTATATTAAAGAGTTTTATGGTTATATTAAAGAGTTTTTTATGGTTTATATTAAAGAGTTTTTATGGTTATATTAAAGAGTTTTTAGGTTATATTAAAGAGTTTTTATGGTTATATTAAAGAGTTTTTATGGTTATATTAAAGAGTTTTTATGGTTATATTAAAGAGTTTTTATGGTTATATTAAAGAGTTTTTATGGTTATATTAAAGAGTTTTTATGGTTATATTAAAGAGTTTTTATGGTTATATTAAAGAGTTTTTATGGTTATATTAAAGAGTTTTTATGGTTATATTAAAGAGTTTTTATGGTTATATTAAAGAGTTTTTATGGTTATATTAAAGAGTTTTTATGGTTATATTAAAGAGTTTTTATGGTTATATTAAAGAGTTTTTTATGGTTATATTAAAGAGTTTTTATGGTTATATTAAGAGTTTTTATGGTTATATTAAAGAGTTTTTATGGTTATATTAAAGAGTTTTTTATGGTTATATTAAAGAGTTTTTATGGTTATATTAAAGAGTCTTTATGGTTATATTAAAGAGTTTTTATGGTTATATTAAAGAGTTTTTATGGTTAATATTAAGAGTTTTTATGGTTATATTAAAGAGTTTTTATGGTTATATTAAAGAGTTTTTATGGTTTATATAAAGAGTTTTTATGGTTATATTAAAGAGTTTTTATGGTTATATTAAAGAGTTTTTATGGTTATATTAAAGAGTTTTTATGGTTATATTAAAGAGTTTTTATGGTTATATTAAAGAGTTTTTATGGTTATATTAAAGAGTTTTCCCACCATACAGATGAATATTTTATCACAGTATATCCATCCTCACACTATTATTCCACACCAAGTTAACACTTCCTCCCCACAGACTATTTCCACTAAGTTTTCCCTCCCACCAAGTTCCTCCCCACAAACAATGTGTTCCCTACAAACGAGGTCTCATGCTCACTAAGAAGCCTTAAGTCCCATGTACTAAATGTCCTCACTCGACTTTCTTTTACAATACTCAAAATAAATATGACTCAGAACACAGAACGGGTGAGATTTGAACTCATGGCGAGGGGAGTTTTAGGACACACTCGCCATGGGTTTGAACCCTACGCTTTCCCAGGCTCGTTTGCTCTCGTGTTATTATGATTTTGTGAGTCATATGTCGGATGATTTTGGGATGATATTTCGATAACGTTGGTATGACCTTTGGATGACCTTGGGATGACCTTGCTATGACCATGGGATGATATTGGGACGATCTTGGGACGATCTTGGGACGATCTTGGTATGACCTTGGTATGATCTTGGGACAATCTTGGGATGATCTTGGGATTATCTAGGTATGACCTTGGAATGAGCTTGGGACGATCTTGGGATGATCTTGGGATGATCTTGGGGTGAGTAAGTCAGCGAGTTAATTTAACCTGCCTTTTTTTTATGTCTAATGAGGAATAATCAACTTTGACAGCGTTCTCAAACAGATATTAGAATTTTTATAATTTATTTTTCATTATTTGAAGTTACAAAACTTTTCTGCGTTTATTCGTTGCTTTAAAGGCACGAAATCCTTAGTACCAATTCTCCCTATTTTGAAAGTCATGAAATGCAAACACGAAACTGCATTTCTTATTTGGCGTATTTTTTTAAGTAGCCGATAACCAATTTCGTAATTCTCGTCTCGGTTGCGATATCCTATTTCTTAATTTACTCTCTTTAAAGGTCACGAAACTCTACGTGTTTCCGGTTCCTCTGTGCACGAACTAAGTGTCGTTGAGATCGCTTATCCCTCTTCCACTGTTTCATTACTTAGAGGCCACGAAATATGGCTTCGTAATTTTCGTTAGAATAAACAGTAGTGGCTCTCTACTGTTTACACATCTCGTTCTAATGTTTACACATCTCGTTCTAATGTTTACACATCTCGTTTTATTATTTACACATCTCGTTTTATTATTTACACATCTCGTTTTATTATTTACACGTCTCGTTGAACATAGAGATGAAATAGGCGAAAAGGCTATTGGTCGAGCAGGATTGGATTCCACTTACCTGCTTCGGGAACCTGTTTCTTTCCGGGAATAAATGTGATATGAGAACAGAAAACGCTCATCACTTTGGGAGGAGAAAAAAGAAAACACGTGTATTAGGACAGTGTTTCGCTTCTGAGCGAAATGTGGCTTAATTTCAAAATGTGCTCTGCTGAACGTGTGTTAATGGACTATGAGGTAATGGGGGAGACAGAGGGGGGAGGGGCCGTAAATCCGTAAGGGTTAAGCAGTGCAAGGATAATGGGAAGTAATCATGTTTGATCCGAGGAAGGAGGGGATAACTACAGTTGTTGAATTTTTGTTAATCAAAGCAGCATGTTAAAATTAGTTGTCAAAGGCGCTTATCAATAGACACTTGGCTTGCTGTTCTTGTACTGTATGTGTGTGTGTGTTTGTGTATATGTACTCACCTAGTTGTGGTTGCAGGGGTCGATTCACAGCTCCTGGCCCCGCTTCTTCGCTACTAGGTCACTCTTCCTGCTCCAAGAACTTTATCATATCTGTGTGTGTGTGTGTTTGGACATTATTTTAAGTCTCGATAGTTAATGTACGAAAGAGAGAGAGAGAGAGAGAGAGAGAGAGAGAGAGAGAGAGAGAGAGAGAGAGAGAGAGAGAGAGAGAGAGAGAGAGAGAGAGAGAGAGAGTGAGAGAGAGAGAGAGACAGACAGAGAAGACAGACAGAGAGAGACAGAGTGAGGCAAACAGAGGCAGAGAGAGAGACAGAGAGACAGAGATATAGAGACAGAGAGTGAGACAGAGACAGAGTCAGATATCGTGGTACAAACTCCAAGAAACAGGAAACGCCGGAGGCGGAAGAAGAAGAAAAAGAGGACAAAAATCCTGAAGGAAAACAAGAAACAAGAAATCATTCCTCGGAGAGTTTAAACCAGCTATGAGATGGCTTTTGGTGGGAATTACAAGAAAAAATGGAAACCAAAATAGAGGACAAGAAAAGGTAAAGTCGAGGCAGGATAAAGCTTACATAATTTATTAAGAATGTTGTCGGGTGTGGTAATGAGGTGAATGTTGCTGGGTGTGGTAATGAGGTGAATGTTGTCGGGTGTGGTAATGAGGTGAATGTTGTCGGGTGTGGTAATGAGGTGAATGTTGTCGGGTGTGGTAATGAGGTGAATGTTGTCGGGTGTGGTAATGAGGTGAATGTTGTCGGGTGTGGTAATGAGGTGAATGTTGTCGGGTGTGGTAATGAGGTGAATGTTGTCGGGTGTGGTAATGAGGTGAATGTTGTCGGGTGTGGTAATGAGGTGAATGTTGTCGGGTGTGGTAATGAGGTGAATGTTGTCGGGTGTGGTAATGAGGTGAATGTTGTCGGGTGTGGTAATGAGGTGAATGTTGTCGGGTGTGGTAATGAGGTGAATGGTGGTGTCGGGTGTGGTAATGAGGTGAATGCTGCTGGGTGTGGTAATGAGGTGAATGTTGTCGGGTGTGGTAATGAGGTGAATGCTGCTGGGTGTGGTAATGAGGTGAATGTTGTTGGGTGTGGTAATGAGGTGAATGCTGCTGGGTGTGGTAATGAGGTGAATGCTGCTGGGTGTGGTAATGAGGTGAATGCTGCTGGGTGTGGTAATGAGGTGAATGTTGTCGGGTGTGGTAATGAGGTGAATGCTGCTGGGTGTGGTAATGAGGTGAATGTTGTTGGGTGTGGTAATGAGGTGAATGTTGCTGGGTGTGGTAATGAGGTGAATGTTGCTGGGTGTGGTAATGAGGTGAATGCTGCTGGGTGTGGTAATGAGGTGAATGCTGCTGGGTGTGGTAATGAGGAGAATGTTGCTGGGTGTGGTAATGAGGTGAATGCTGCTGGGTGTGGTAATGAGGTGAATGCTGCAAGTGTTATCTCCCAGCAGCTGCTAGGGATTTGTCCTAACAGGTCTCAGTATCTGAAGGGTAATTGCATTTCCACAACTACACACACACACACACACACACACACTCAGCTCCTGGCCCCGCCATGAGCTGAGTCTCGACCCCTGCAACCACAATTAGGTGAGTACACACACACACACATACACACACACACACAATCTGATGTAGTGAAAGCAAGATCCATCCATAGCTTTAAGAAGAGGTACTATGAAGCTCTTAGAGCAGGTAAAGAGTGGACATAGTAACAACCAGCGAACAGGCGGGGGCCAGGAGCTGCGACTTGATTGCTGCAACTATAAATAGATACGTGCACACACACTCACCTACAGCTCACGGATTAAACCGCTCTTCGAGAAATCAAAGTTACCCAGGTTGCTCTCTTAGGCAGAGCAAGACGCATGAGCGAGTCTCCTTACACCTGCCCTAATCCTCTACCAGTAAAAAGACACCTGTGTTAATCGACTGTTCTGGGCTGCATCCCGGGGGGGAGAAGAAAGCCACAATAGCACTGAAGGCTAAGCACTACGAGCGTATCTCTCTCTTTTCTCTTGTAACTACAGTACGATCACACCCACACAGACACACACATGAGAAAATACGTCTTTTCGTAAGCGATTCTATGCGCAGGCGCTCAGTAATTTTATCCATGGCGAGAGAGAGAGAGAGAGTCAGCCAGCCAGTGTTGCCTAGGAGGTGGGTGGGTGAAGCGGTGTGTGTGTGTATTCGCACACCACCCACACAAACACACACATACACACACACACACACAAACACACACTGACAAGAATGCACCCGTGCCGATTCTCGCTCGGGAACTAACGTCTTATTTCCTCGTTAACAAAGAAAATTAACCCAACTACGAGTGTTTTATATATATTATATATATATCAGATTTCTCCTTGCATTTGATTCTATTTATTGTTTTTTAAATTTCTCGTGTTTTCTCTCTCTTTCTCTGGATGCTGATGTTCAGTGTAAACACTGATAGCTGCTCCAGATGCATATAAGGTCCCTCTAGCATGTGTTTGTGGAATAACTTACTAGTTGCAAGTGTAGAAAGAGGCGAACTCACGGGATTTTGACAATGTGTTGTGGTTGACGACCCTCAGCATCTCTACGCCCTCTGAGAGATACAATTCCTCCCGATACCAGCCTCCGACAGAGGAACTCTTCTGCACGATGGTGAGTCTACATTAAGGAATGTGCTGGAGAATGCATCAAAGATTTATTTAGACAAATTATTTACAAGTAGACTAAGGAATGTGTTGGAGAATGTATTTAGACAAATGGGTTTACAGGTACATGAATGTGCCGGAGAATGTAGCTAATGTTTCTTGAGATAATTAACTCTACTTTAAGAAATGTACTGACGAATGTAAATAAGATCAAAACATGCGGTTTAAGGAATTTTACGAAGACATTTCGTCCACTAGGGACTAATTGATTAAAGCTCTGGTGGGCGAAACGTCTACTAGAATAAACGCCACAAACCATATTTCGTTTCTCATTAACAAATACGATGTAAATATTTTGAAAAACAAAACAAAACCGAGAAGCTGAAGAATGAGACACTTATGCAACACTTGGGAATATTGAGACACTTATGCAACACTTGGGAATATTGAGACACTTATGCAACACTTGGGAATATTGAGACACTTATGCAACACTTGGGAATATTGAGACACTTATGCAACACTTGGGAATATTGAGACACTTATGTAACACTTGGGAATATTGAGACACTTATGCAACACTTGGGAATATTGAGACACTTATGCTACACTTGGGAATATTGAGACACTTATGCAACACTTGGGAATATTGAGACACTTATGCAACACTTGGGAATATTGAGACACTTATGCAACACTTGGGAATATTGAGACACTTATGCAACACTTGGGAATATTGAGACACTTATGCAACACTTGGGAATATTGAGACACTTATGCAACACTTGGGAATATTGAGACACTTATGCAACACTTGGGAATATTGAGACACTTATGTAACACTTGGGAATATTGAGACACTTATGCAACACTTGGGAATATTGAGACACTTATGCAGCACTTGGGAATATTGAGACACTTATGCAATACTTGGGAATATTGAGACACTTATGCAACACTTGGGAATATTGAGACACTTATGCAACACTTGGGAATATTGAGACACTTATGCAACACTTGAGAATATTGAGACACTTATGCAACACTTGAGAATATTGAGACACTTATGCAACACTTGGGAATATTGAGACACTTATGCAACACTTGGGAATATTGAGACACTTATGCAACACTTGAGAATATTGAGACACTTATGCAACACTTGGGAATATTGAGACACTTATGCAACACTTGGAAATATTGAGACACTTATGCAACACTTGGGAATATTGAGACACTTATGCAACACTTGGGAATATTGAGACACTTATGCAACACTTGGCAATATTGAGACACTTATGCAACACTTGGTAATATTGAGACACTTATGCAACACTTGGGAATATTGAGACACTTATGCAACACTTGGTAATATTGAGACACTTATACAACACTTGGGAATATTGAGACACTCATGCAACACTTGGGAATATTGAGACACTTCTGCAATACTTGGGAATATTGAGACACTTATGCAACACTTGGGAATATTGAGACACTTATGCAACACTTTGGAATACTGAGACACTTATGCAGCACTTGGGAATATTGAGACACTTATGCAACACTTGGTAATATTGAGACACTTATGCAACACTTGGGAATATTGAGACACTCATGCAACACTTGGGAATATTGAGACACTTATGCAACACTTGGGATACTGAGACACTTATGCAGCACTTGGGAATATTGAGACACTTATGCAACACTTGGGAATATTGAGACACTTATGCAACACTTGGGAATATTGAGACACTTATGCAACACTTGGGAATATTGAGACACTTATGCAACACTTGGTAATATTGAGACACTTATGCAACACTTGAGAATATTGAGACACTTATGCAACACTTGGGAATATTGAGACACTTATGCAACACTTGGGAATATTGAGACACTTATGCAACACTTGGGAATATTGAGACACTTATGCAACACTTGGGAATATTGAGACACTTATGCAACACTTGGGAATATTGAGACACTTATGCAACACTTGGGAATATTGAGACACTTATGCAGCACTTGGGAATACTGAGACACTTATGCAACACTTGAGAATATTGAGAAACTTATGCAACACTTGGGAATATTGAGACACTTCTGCAACACTTGAGAATATTGAGACACTTATGCAACACTTGGGAATATTGAGACACTTATGCAACACTTGGGAATATTGAGACACTTATGCAACACTTGAGAATATTGAGACACTTATGCAACACTTGGGAATATTGAGACACTTATGCAACACTTGGTAATATTGAGACACTTATGCAACACTTGGGAATATTGAGACACTTATGCAACACTTGGGAATATTGAGACACTTATGCAACACTTGGGAATATTGAGACACTTATGCAACACTTGGTAATATTGAGACACTTATGCAACACTTGAGAATATGAGACACTTATGCAACACTTGAAATATTGAACACTTATGCAACACTTGGAATTTTGAGACACTTATGCAACACTTTGGTAAATATTGGAGACACTTATGCAACATTTGGGAATATTGAGACACTTAGGCAACACTGGGAATATTGAGACACTTATGCAACACTTGGGAATATTGGGGACACTTATGCAACATTTGGGGAAATATTGAGACACTTATGCAGCACTTGGGAATACTGAGACCTTATGCAACACTTAGAATATTGAGAAACTTATGCAACATTTGGGAATATTGAGACACTTCTGCAACACTGAGAATATTGAGACACTTATGCAACACTTGGAATATTGAGACACTTATGCAACACGGGGGAATATTGAGACACTTATGCAACACTTGGGAATATTGAGACACTTATGCAACACTTGGGAATATTGAGACACTTATGCAACACTTGGGAATATTGAGACACTTATGCAACACTTGGGAATATTGAGAAAACTTATGCAACACTTGGGAAATTTTGAGACACTTATGCAACACTTGGAAATATTGAGACACTTCTGCAACACTTGAGAATATTGAGACACTTATGCAACACTTGGGAATATTGAGACATCAATGCAACACTTGGGAATATTGAGACACTTATGCAACACTTGGGAATATTGAGACACTTATGCAACACTTGGGAATATTGAGACACTTATGCAACACTTGGGAATATTGAGACACTTATGCAACACTTGAGAATATTGAGACACTTATGCAATGAATATGCCCCCCGAATGTTGCACAAGCGTCTCTCATTCTTCAACTCATCATACCATTGAGAAACGTGCTGAAGAACGTATCGTGGATACATTCTGGACCTTTACTGGGCGAAACGTGTCCACAATAAGATGCCCAGTTGGTGCATATGCACCTTATTTTTTAAGAAAATAAAAGCGTAAGTTTATGTTCTCTTTGTAAAAAATATTAAATTTTCTCCCCTTTTATTGATGTTATTGAAGGGCTCTAAATCCGAGGGATTAGAGCCCTTCAACTGAAGAAAACATTGAAGAAAAACGTCGCAGCCAAAGGTGCTTAATGGGTTAAACGTTTTGCCTCTGGCTTGTCAAGGCCGTACAAGGGCGAAATGTTGTTCCAGCTGAGTCTGCCTTTCCTGCAGTTTCCCATTCCTCGGATCAAAAAATGATTTGACCCCAGCACACACATACCTCTCATTCCCCCGGGGCCTTGTATGGCCCATACGGGTTTAGCTCTTTGCCATGAAAATATTATTATTCACTATAATCAAAACTAACCCAAACTTTGAAGAGGATGCTTCACGACGTTTCGGACGCTCCTGGAAAATTATCAAATCTCCAAAACGTATCGGACCGAGAAGCGCTTCAAATTTTTCTCTCCAATAATGGGTTAGTTGTGAATTGTTCCATGTACAGTATTGTGGGTTAGTTGTGAATTGTTCCATGTACAGTATTGTGGGTTAGTTGTGAATTGTTCCATGACGTATTGTGGGTAGTTGTGAAAATTTTTCCATGTACAGTATTGTGGGTTAGTTGTGAATTGTTCCATGTACAGTATTGTGGGTTAGTTGTGAATTGTTCCATGTACAGTATTGTGGGTTAGTTGTGAATTGTTCCATGTACAGTATTGTGGGTTAGTTGTGATTTTGATCCGTGTACAGTATTGTAGGTTAGTTGTGAGTTGTTCCATGTACAATATTGTGGGTTAGTTGTGAATTGCTCCATGTACAGTATTGTGGGTTAGTTGTGATTTTGATCCTTGTACAGTATTGTAGGTTAGTTGTGAGTTGTTCCATGTACAATATTGTGGGTTAGTTGTGAATTGCTCCATGTACAATATTGTGGGTTAGTTGTGATTTTGATCCATGTACAGTATTGTGGGTTAGTTGTGAATTGTTCCATGTACAAACTGTGGTTAGTTGTGATCTGATCCATGTACATTTTTGTGGGTTAGTTGTGAATTGTTCCATGTACAATACTGTGGGTTAGTTGTGATTCTGATCCATGTACAGTATTGTGGGTTAGTTGTGAATTGTTCCATGTACAATACTGTGGGTTAGTTGTGATTCTGATCCATGTACAGTATTGTGGGTTAGTTGTGAATTGTTCCATGTACAGTACTGTGGGTTAGTTGTGAATTGTTCCATGTACAGTACTGTGGGTTAGTTGTGAATTGTTCCATGTACAGTACTGTGGGTTAGTTGTGAATTGTTCCATGTACAGTACTGTGGGTTAGTTGTGAATTGCTCCATGTACAATATTGTGGGTTAGTTGTGATTTTGATCCTTGTACAGTATTGTAGGTTAGTTGTGATTTTGATCCATGTACAGTATTGTGGGTTAGTTGTGAATTGTTCCATGTACAATACTGTGGGTTAGTTGTGATTCTGATCCATGTACAGTATTGTGGGTTAGTTGTGAATTGTTCCATGTACAGTACTGTGGGTTAGTTGTGAATTGTTCCATGTAAAAGTACTGTGGGTTAGTTGTGAATTGTTCCATGTACAGTACTGTGGGTTAGTTGTGAATTGTTCCATGTACAGTACTGTGGGTTAGTTGTGAAT